TAAGTAGTGACTTAAATGTGTCCACTGATTTTCATACTTTTATAAATAATGGTATGTTGTTCCAACACTTTATGTCACAACACGACGGACTGACAAGAGACGATTGCCATTTTCTCCGTTCAGTATTTATTGTAAAACATAGGTGGCAGCAAACATTGTTTATTGGGGATGAATACATTACAACTCTCCCCTGTGTAATCTGTTAGTGGTTTAAACATTTAGGTGAGCAACATTATATTGTAGAATTATCTGATGAATCTGTTTTCATATTATATATATAAACTTTCAAAACAACACTATTCTAATCTCATAAGAAAATCTAAATTAACAAATGGCTCAGGTATACTCTATTTCAAAACTATCAGTTTGAGTATCGATCGTTACTGTATATAAGTGATATTTAATCTGAGCTCAATAAACGTTATAGATCTATCAAAGTTATCAGCTATTATTATTATATTGTGTGATATGAATCTCTATTGTGATGTCTCAATAAATTGAAAATTGAATTCAACATTTAATTGTGTGTGCGTCTTCAGTACATTTCTGTTATCAATCGTTTAGGTTTTTTAACTATCCTTTTAGATCGTCTAAGTTTACTTTCATTTACAGTCACACATTGTTCATTGTTCATTTCCATGTCTGTTTCACGTTGTGCCTCCATCACCGGAACTGCTGCTGGTTCTCCAAACTGTGGTACTCTTTGTGTTGGCATAATACTCTCCTCAGTCTGTTCATCTTGTATCTTGTTCATCTTGTATCTTGTATCTTGTATCAGCCATAGTTTCTCGAAGTTGTTCAATGTGCCGCTTCCAAGTTCCACCCTCCTGTGTCCTTATGTCATAAGATAGTGGACCATTTTTTTTTGTAACTTCACCAGCTATCCATTTATCTTTACCTCGATAATCATGTGCAACTACTTTCTGTCCAATGTCAAGATTTCTTTCTTTACCATGTGTCGCTCTCTGTTTACCCTGTCTTTCCATGACAACCTGTTGCGTGTCTGGTCGCATGATGTCCAATCTTGTACGAAGGTCTCTACCACAGAATAATCTTGCTGGGCTTTCACCCGTTGTTGCATGAGGTGCGTTACGATATGCTAGTAGAAAGTTCTCTAATTTCACTTGTTTGGAAAGCTTCTCTCCCCTGGCTGACTTTAAAGCTCCTTTAAATAACTGGACGAATCTCTCTGCTAAACCGTTAGTAGCAGGATGGTTCGGGGCTGACCTAGTATGTCGGATACCATTAGATTTCATAAACTCCTGGAATTCCTGTGACGTGAACTGTGTTCCATTGTCAGATACTAGTTGTTTGGGTAGGCCACATCTTGCAAAGACACCTCTCAAAAGTGTGATAGTTTTTGCGGATGTACTCTCTTTAGTTGCTAAGACCTCCGGCCATTTTCAGTGTGCATCGACGACAATCAGATACATTGTGCCATTAAGCGGTCCTGCGTAATCTATGTGAATACGGTCAAAAACTTTAGATGGCCATTCCCAGGGATGTAATGGTGACTTAGGTGCTTCTTTCTGTGTTAATTGACAACCTGCGCAAGACTTGGCAATACTTTCTATATCGCTGTCTATCCTTGGCCACCAACAGCAACTCCTAGCCAGTGCCTTCATTTTCACAATACCTAAGTGCCCTTCATGAAGCTCATCACATACG